GTGGTTTCTGTCTGCATGTGCACAATTTGTCGAATAATTTGATGATCAATATACGGCTTACGAATCAACGTTTAGAAATACTCGTCAACAATGATCATTATCTGTTTTCATGGTTGTTAAATTTCATTCTTCATATACCAATTTAAATTCACAAGCTGGTCAAACAAGGTATAAGGTAATGGAATCTTCCATTGGTAAAATAGAAAAAACCAAGGCCATAATTTTCACAAAAATCATTCAAAGCATTTCTCAGTCAATTTTGAAAGTTCTGCTCAAAAACAGTAAGTGCACAGAATTTTATTTTCAACCATCAACCATGGTTTTAACTCTTATAATTTGTTCATGTGTTGCAAAAAGCATATTTATATTGTAAATAGCTTCAATTTTTATTCAATCACTAAGACATAGCCAATTCATTGGTATGCAGAATAGAAATTCAGAAAATATTATAACTAAGATTGCAATACATAATAGCATACATTTGTGGAAATTCTGTCTAATTTACGTACTATGAAACGGCAAGTACCAACAGCCAAAATAACATATCCATCTAGAAATTTCTCATTCCTATTGGTTATTATTCCAACACGTGTATCATTAACACCTGAAAATTTGGCATCATTTGATAGCTTCCATGGGCCCATTGCAATAATTGACATATATTCTTTCAGCTGTGTGATTGCACATTTCAATACATCACCTATTGTCATCATCTCTGCCCTGCTGTAGGGGATATATTTTCTCTTCAGCAATGCCTCTTCTTCTTCTAATCTGAGGCTTTTGTTGAAATTGCTCAGCTGTGATGCAGTGAAGTTGCTACGCCAGGATCCAGTATCTCCACTTAATAGACCTAAGAGTGAAAAGAGCTTAAGCTCTACAACAATACTCAGAGTCCGGATATCCAAAAGTGAACGTTTGGCAACAAAGAGATCAGGGAATTTATAACACCCTTGACCATAAGATCTCCTTGAGTCTGCCATAAGACAGAGCTTGGAAACTCGACCACTAAATGGAATGAGAGCCAAAAGAGCTGTTTTTAGCACACGCTCATTGAGAGTTTGTAGGTCTCTCATTGATTCGCTGTTGAAAAAATTCTTGATAATTCCAATAAAGGGGGTTATGTTGCCATTCATAAGTTCTTGGTATACATTCTCTCTGTCTTCAGTGGTACCAGCAAAATTATTAGCACATTGCTCTTCAATTAATTGAGCAATCATCTAAACAAAAGAGTTAATTGTGATTCTTCATTTTATAAATAGAAAAAAGGTTAATACATACAACATCCTGTACAGTTCCATTAGGTACTATTAATCCACCATTTGGACTATGTGTGAGTGCACCTAGGTAATATAGCAGCGAGCAGGCAATGCTACGGCAGCCTTCTTCATATCCTGTGACTGAAGCAGTGAGGATGTCAGAAAATGAAAGATTGAGCTTAAAGTTTACTTCTACAGGTGCATTTGCTTTGAAAAAAATTAGGTCTTTGTATTTGACTAGGTTCTGCCTAGCAATTGTTCCAAAGAAGTGAGTTGCATCAGATAAGCTACTTGGAATATCAAAGAGATATCCCCGATCATTGTACCGCTCAAGAGCATTAAAAACCATTAGGGGATTGTAAACTGATTCAATGTTGTCAGCTCCCAGTTTACAAAACAAATATCCATTGCAAGTTTGCTTCAAAGTATCCAGGAAGACTTCCATATCCTCATTATCCAAGGTAAGGTAGCTTGTGACCAAGCCCTGGATGTCTTTCTCAAAAAAGCCACAAATGCCA